GGCATCGCATTGATCCATGTTGACAATCTTTTGCGGGTCGCGGAATATAAATAAATATGCCAAGTTATTCGCATACTTTTACACTCGGCTGCTCATCGCATCGTCGGCGTGGTGTGTGGCCTGCGTTCCAAGGAGCGGGGTAAAAAGATATTTGTTTTCGGATTCGTTGCTGAAACAGTTTATTTTTATTGCCGGGCGACGCGACTTCGCTGCCACATCGATGCCGATGCCGCTTGACAAAAGGCAAATGCACCCATTTGTCATTTAGACAACGAGCTGACAACAGTTCAGTGCCACTTGTCACAGCTGAGCCGCGGAAAAAAGCCCGAGCAGCAGAAATCCCAGTGGCAGTCCGCCCTTCACACTGGTTACTTTAAAAATAAACAACAAAAATCACAAGTACCCCGCTTTCATCAAATGATAAAAACCCTTTTTTTGCGTAATGGGCTGAACACACAAAGTGCTTTTAATTAAGCATCGATATGTGCTTAAATATGAAATGCCCTTACATATTTAATTAAAAGGAAATTGTATCCCGTTGCCATCTACAAAGGGACTTTGTCCTCGTTTTTAATTGCGCATTTCATGCATTTTAATGCGACTGCCCACATAAAAGACAGCTACCATAACCCAAAAGAAAATGTAATGAACTCAAAACCAACAAGAGAGAACGCTATAGTCGGGTTGGTGTCCCGACTATCTAATACCCGTTACTCAGCTAAAGGGAGTGCGAACGCTGTGTCGGGTTGGTGTCCCGACTAATAATCGTAACTCAGCTAAAGGGAGTGCGAGGGAGATAGATATATGTTGACAATTTATAAAGCGTATAACTTTTTAATGAATGGTCCGATTTGAAAAATGTCTTCTACATTTCGATAGGTATAAATATACACAACAAAATTGCATTTATACTTCTAGGAAATCTTTAAAGATGTGGGCGCAGGACCCATTTTAAAATCGTTAGTGGGCGATTGTGGGCGTTAGAGGGGGCGTGGCGCTCGGCTAAAATAAACTTGCGCTGCGTAGGAAGCCAAAGAATATGTGTGGGAAATCTCAACCTTCTAGCTTTTGTAGTTTCTGAGATCTCAGCGTTCATACAGACGGACAGACGGACAGACGGACAGACGGACAGACGGACATGGCTAGATCGACTCGGCTAGTGACCCTGATCAAGAATATATATACTTTATGGGGTCGGAAACGCTTCCTTCTAGCTGTTACATACTTTTGCACGAATCTAGTATACCCTTTTACTCTACGAGTAACGGGTATAAAAAGGGAAAATTACACGAGCCACCCAAAAAATAAAATAAAAATGCAAACAAATTAAAGCAAGGCAAACGCATAAATTTTATATGGCTTTCAACCGAAGAGATCTGGCCAAGCACATTGATATGGATTTAAGCTGGGGCTGCTAATCAAATGTAAGCACATTTAATGTTTAAATAAACAGAAATGAGTTGGTCTGGCGCAAATAGAACAGACGCAATGAAAAGAGACTAGAGCCTGAAAGGACGAGATCTGGCTTAGGCCTCAATCAAATATTTTTCCCTTTGATTAAGTCCCGCATAAATATTTATGTGCAGCAGCGGCAAAAATGCGCATTCATGTCTGCCAAAGTGGTATTTAATTGAGAAGTAAAATATAAGAAGAACGTGGCGGTAAACAGAATAAATATTGTGATTAAGCAAGCAACGAATACAAGATATCCTGGGTGAAGTAAAATATTAAAAATAAATTCTGTCTCTATCATTCGACATTTTTTATTCATGCCAGAAGGAAAAAATATATTTTTAAAGATTAAAAACTAAAATCATGTTAAATACAAATAATAAGTTTAGCGAAGATTAGTCTTTCTTTCAGAAACGATTTCATTCAATTTATTCCCCTGAACAAAACTTCTTTGACTCTGTTTGGTTACTAAACGCATTTCAATCATCAACTCTTTTCTTCATGATCATAAAACTCCAAAATAAACTTCAATTTAAAAGCAAACAAACTCGTTATGCGATGCTGCCTCTGCTCACGACGACGCCACTTGAAAAATATATCATAAATTGTGTTATTGAGTTAGCAGAGGGGCTCTCATCACCGAAAAAAGCTGAAACAAAACACAAATACGGACCACGAGAGCCACTTTCAGACTTGGCAAACAAAATAAAGTCACCGAAGACTGAGAATTTGTGTGTATTTTTGTGGGGATATTTTTGTGCCTTCGTTTTATTCCTTTTGAAGTGCCACCCAAAAAAGAAGCACAAAGTTGAGTTTATGTCTGCTTCTGTGGGGCATAATTCCCTTTAAAGACTTTAACGCTTTTTTAATAATTTTTTATTGTCAAGAAATGCGCTGGGGTATTATTTGCATTTCAGAAGTTTTAAGTGCCGACAACGCGGCTGTTCCCTACAAACTTTATTTGCGTCTTAGTTTAATTTCTGAGTTTATTTGGTTTGTTTAAAAAGTTTAATAAACGGTTGAACTCATAAACCAAACTCAGACAGCACACGGGAAAATATTCAATTTGTATACGTTAAATTAGCGACATAATTTCATTAAACTCGGGCTTTAACTGCAGTATTGGCAATTCAGCCAATCAATAGCCGTGCAACAAACATAAACTTCAAGGACACTCTCGACCTTTTTGTCAAGTTAATCCCATTGTTCGCCAATATTGCAGGCCAATATTTTGCATTCGTTTATATTTAATTTGCATTCATACATTTGCATAGGTCACCGTTTCACTTCGGCAAAAAACGGGGAAAATAAACTTCTGAGTTTGCTTTGCAACATTGTGCACTGAAAAACCAGCAAAGTAGGCGAATGTCGGGCGAATAAACGGAACTGGGATTGAATTGTCACAGCTGCAATTTTTCAAATGTCAAATCAAAACAGAAAACCAATTACTTTCGATGATTAATTACCATTTTCGAAGGAACAAATGCTGGAGACCGCAGAATGATTTTGATTGCGAACCGGGCCAACAGTTCGTTTGATTTATGATGCGATCAACCCTTTGCTGACAAGTCCCCGATGCGACGTGCCCGTCCCACTTCAATTCCTGAAGGATACCCCAACCAAAGTTTCGTGAACTTGGTCCTGCGACATGGAAATCACCTTAAAATTCATAAGTTTGTCTGCGGGGGCAGGGAGGGAAAACTCACTGAGGGTTCTGAAGGCGTCAGGCAGAAACCACAAGTAAAACAGCAGCTGCATGTCATTAACTACATGGGCGTCCTGGCGTAATCCTCACCACTTGGCGCACAACACGGCGGATGCGTAACGCGACCAACTTTTCAACGCTTCATTTTTCAAACATTTAGCACACCCACTTTTTGGAGTGTGTGTGTCTGCTATATGACACCTTTTTGCCCACACTCCGTATCATTTTGCACTTTTTTCCTATTTTGTTGTCATCAAAGCTGCGGATTATGCGCACAAAAAACGAGAGTTTATGTATGAAATTATGCAAAGCAGACCAGCAGACGATAATGATGGTGGTTAGGAATGCTGCGGCTGATGATGATAATTTCCAACAGCCAGGACTCTTTAACCCGTCAAGGACGTCGCGAAAGTGAAAATGGGTTCGCCTTTGTTCCATTATAAATTACATTTTTTTGCGATTATTATGATTAAGATGAAAAGTGAAATTTTGTATGGCTGCATGGAAATTTCATATTTTAATTACAATTTGCTTCGGCCGCAAGTGACCCAAATTTAAATGTACCCACATATACAGAGGAAGAAAGGGTTCTTTCAACCCTTTGGCGACCGTCGGTGTCCTCAGCTGCATGCCTGGATGCATAATTATGTTGCCAAACTGGTTGGCTGACCAGCAAAAAATGTAAAGGGGAAACAACCCTAAAAGTCGAAAACCCAAGTTACTTGAGCATGACGAATGGCTTTGTTGAGTTTACCACTTCTTCGGGAGATTTTATTAAAAATTCCTTAGACACAGGTGCAGTTTCGAAAAAGTTTTCAATTTGCCTTTTGCCACAAGAATTGGATGGATGGTTTTATTTTTTGAAATACTTTTCGCCCTTAGCGCTGGTGAAACCTGTTGTCGAAGATTAAATATTAATGGTGCCTATTAATATCATCCTCGGCCGTCCAAAACCAATAAAATTTCCCTAATGTCCCGATATTTATGGGAGCTAATTTATGCTTGAGAAGTAACGAATTGGAAATCGATACTATAAAATTATTCATTGATTTATTCTACTCAGCTATTGGGTGTACTTCTTTTTAGCTTGGAGGCAATTTACTATTTCGAGGAAACCACTTTAAATGGAAACCCTCTAAGAGCGGAAGTAGAAACGATCTGATGTGGTCGCGAGTCCGCAGGTAGGGATTGTTTTGCGGTTTCTGATTGTCAAGTCATTCGAGCAGGTGTAAATTGATCGCATCTGAGAGGCAACTTCTCATAGGTGAAAAGTTAAGGGGAAAAGTAGGTAAGAGTTTACTCGAAATTAATTTTTTAAATTAATTTTTTAAGAATACTAAGGGCTAGTACTCAACCCAACAAAAAGTCGCCCAAAACAAAAAACTTCATATAAAAAAACGTAAAAAATTTTGTTTCATATGAATTTTTTTGTATTGGACGACGTAAAAAATTTAGTTTCATATGAATTTTTTGTTATTGGACGGCTTTTTGATGGGTTGAGTACTAGCCCTAAATCAAAAAGCTTTTTATCAAGTTTTAAGTTTCCAATATAATATTAGAATATTTTTTTTTTCTAAATCTTGAGTATGGGAGAATATTCCAATTCTTTGTAAAAATTTATTTTCTAAACAATTTTTTGTTTTTTTTAAGAATAGATTAAAATCACAATAACCAAATTAAAATGTGTGCCCCCTTTGCGATGTTTCGGTAGGAGTAAATGGCACTGATGACCTTCTCTATCCCCATTTCAGAGACAATAAATTTGCGCACAAAATTAATTCCAGGTAATGCAATCTAAATTTTAAACTTGTAAATAAAATTCAGGATCCTCCGTCAAACTTACCCGATGCGCAACGGCATGTAAATCGAAAATTACCAGAAATTGTCACTTTACATCACGCCTGCTGCAGGACCTATAAATCATGCAGCACACACACTCGCACACTGGCTTACAGAAGAAGCCACAATCTGGTCTAGTATTTTGGCAGCGGAGATCCTGGCCTGTGTGTGTGTGAATATTCAAATCAGTTGCTGGCTGCCAATAAATGAAATTTGCTACACACACTCTCACCCACTGAGCACACACACAGTCCACGAGCACACACACACTTAAATTGAGTGGGAAAATTCGAATGGTCCCGTGTATTTAGCAAATGAACCGTACTTTCTGTTGATTTTCCCGGCTTCTGTTTTATTTTTGGTAACGCGCACTAATCAAATATTACAGACTTTTACACAGCTATGCGATCAGCGAAACTGAATTAAATTAAATGCCAGATGAATGGCAGCCTCATTACGACGGCAACACTTTGGCTGCCAATTAGCTCGCCCGAATTCAATTAGTTTGAGTTTAGGACCCAGGATTTGGTCCTGATTTGTGGCCAAGTTCTGAGCTTATCTGCCAGCTTATCTGCGACAGTCCCACGGATGAAGTACGTCAAAAACACTGGAGCGGATTGAACGGAATCGAACGGCAAACCGCACTCTCCGCAAACCAAATGAAAACTGAAGTCGGCCGAAAGCGCGCTGAAAGTTAAATCCGAAGTCGAGAACGCGGCTCGAGCTTCCAGCGGCTCGAAACAATCCGAGCGGCACTTGCAACATGTTGCAAGTTCGTTGTATACTTCGGGAATTCTATGTTTCTGAGTCCGGACCTCCGATCTTTGAATTTTATTATAATTTATAGCATCATAGTAGCATATCAACGTTAATATATTCTTTTTTTAATAAGGAACCCATTCTCCATATTCTAAAATTCTCCAAGTTGAAACATTTTTAATATCGCTTAAAAGATGAAACTATAGCTTTTAAATTTTGTGTTCATAGTAGGCATTTAAATAGTTATCAATAGGCATTTAAAGGTCCTAGGCCAAACATGTTCTAAAATTTGATACGATATTATTGATACTCCAAAAGTTTTTCGCAACAACTTATTATTTTTAGTATACTTTTCCAACGCGGTCTGAAATACCTTTACACGCTTCAAAATTCAATTCAAGTATAATTGCACAAATCATTTGATTAAAATTGTTTTAGTTTTTTTTTTAAATCTCTGTTGTTAAGGTCTTTTATTATTGCGCACAATCAAAAAGGTGCCCATTATTTTTAAACCCCCGTGCGCTCATTGTAAGTTAAAAATACAGTAACCATAGATGAAGCTAACACTTTTTAGACAGGACCGGTTTTAAATGGCGAATAGTTCCCGTTCGGGATCAGGCTGGAGAATTACCGGCACATATTCGTCCAGCAGGGATTCTCCGTCCAGCTCGGATTCCTCGTCCAGCTCCGATTCGTCGACAGGCTTTAGCGTTATCCGTGGGCGCATCAATATTATCGCCAGTACTTCAACCTCGAGTCCAAACACTGTAAGCTTCAGCGAAGCCTGGACCTCAAGAGGCACACGTGCAGCAAAAGCAAAAGCCTCGAATACCAAGTCTTCAGAAGAATCTCCGCTAGACAATCAAGCCGTACCCTTCAACTGTCCTGTGTGTCTGGAAGATGTGCGTAAAGGGGTGCCGGTGTCGACGACTTGCGGCCACATCTTTTGCAAAAGCTGCATTCAAAAAGCCATCAGCATTTCGTTAAAGTGCCCAATTTGCAATGTGTCATCTCCTCAATTTCATCGAATTTACATCTAAGACAAAAGTAAGGCAGGCAACATATGATAATAAAGTATAGGTTACCAAGAGGTTGGTATATTTTCGTGTCTCATTCCTAAGTTCATAATTGAAAGGTGAAAATAAAAAGTGAAACATTTTTCATTTAATTTACTTGAAACTGAAATGCGAACTTCGGGGGTCAATGAAGACGACATTGATCTGTTTGAACCCCGGGACAACAAGTGCACTCAGAAAATGAATCGCCCTGAATTTTAGAAAATCGCCTATGGATTTGCTTCACTGGCGATTTTTTTCTTTAAAATAAAAAAATTTTCTACTGGTAAAGAAAATTTTCTTCCAATTAATCAAAATTCATTAAATTCAAGAAATATTCCAGAAATATAGAAAAAAATCGCCAGTAAAGCAAATCCATAGGCGATTTTCTAAAAATTTTTTTGGAGTGTGTGAGGCAACAATTTCAAATGGCTGGCCAGGATGCCGAGCTGGGCGCTAATGCAAGACGAGATACTTGTGGTGTCCTGCCTTTTATTGCTAAGTCCCCGATACAACCTAATAATTCAATAAGTTAGAAAATTAAAAATTTATTTTATTTATTTAATTTAAGGTACAATAACCTACAAATAAAATATATAAAAATAGCATTAAAGCATTTAAAAATTATATTTAAAATCACATAAGTCGTTCGCGAATTTGGTATGTGAAGCTTATCAATATGGTCAGAAAAGTTAAAATTTTAAAAAAATTAATACGCAGCTAGGGGATCCAAATTGATTAAAAAAAAACTACCATATTGATAACCAGTTTTTTTATTTTTGTTTAAACATTTTTGGAAATTCATATTTTTCAGATAACTAACAATCAATATTGAATTTTAATTTAGTGGTCATAGTAGTCATTGAAAAAGTTAGCATTATCCATTCAAAGGTCCCAACCTAAGTATATTAGTAGATGTGAGTTTGTAAAGCGAAATTCTTGATAATACGCTAAGTTTTTCCGTATAATATATACTTTTACACGACGGTCTGAAATATCTTTTCACCACACACCATTGCCACACAAGTCGCCGTTACGTTACATTTGAATAACAGTGTGGCCGTACGGAAATTCAAAATATTTACTATAGCCTGCTGCGGACTAAGAATTTTTGACTAACGTGGTTTTTAGTTTGTTTTTTGACAACTATGTAAAGCCTATAAATTTTTCACAAACATATGTAAGCACAAGGATCCAATTCATTTTAGATCGCCGTAAATTCATTGTAAGTTTGAATTTGATTTTTATAAATGAAGCTAACCCCTTTTTACACAGGCGGGATATAAAATGGGGGACACTACCACCTCCAGTTCCAGCTCAGACTCTGATTCGCCCAGCTCCGATAATTTGCCTGGCTGGAATTATTATTCGTCTAGCTCCGGGCCCTCGTCCAGCTGGGATTCTACGTCAAGCACTGGTTCGTCGTCAGGCTCGGAATCGTCGTCAGGCTCGGAATCGGATACCTGGACAGACTTAACCATACGTGGTGGACGCGTTGATATTATCTCCCATGCCAACTTCACCACTGTCACCTTCAGGGATGCATTGTCCGTAATGGGAAAACGTAGCCGTCCTGCACCAGCACCGGAAGCGCAGAATTCCGAGTCTTCAGAAGATTCTCCACCGGACAAGCAAGCCAAACACAACGACGGACAGACTCGGAAACCCTACAACTGTCCTGTGTGTCTGAAAGATGTGCGTAAGGGGGAGCCGGTGGCCACTTCGTGTGGTCACATCTTCTGCAGAATCTGCATTCAAAAATCCATTCGCACCACATCTAAATGCCCAATGTGCAATGTTGTATCTCCCAAGTTTCATCGCATTTACATGTAAGACAAAGATAAGGCGGACAATTTATGGTAATAAAATATAAATTGCCAAGATCTGAAATAATCTATTGGTATATATTCATGTGTCATTCCCAAGTTATTCATTTTATAGAGGCTTTTTCATATATATGTTTTCAGTGAGTAAAATTATTGCACTTGACAAATCTGAAAACTACAATCTTAAGAGTATTTTCTGCAGCTAAATGCTTAAACTTTAGAGTAACACCTGGAGAAACTGTTGCTCCACCATAACAATACATAAAAAAAGGAACTTATCAGGAGTGCAACATCCTCGCGGGACACGACAATGCAGTCGCAAAGTTTCAGCTCGAAAACTAAAAGTCAAATATAAGAAGGCAGGCAACTTTGGCCATAAAACATGGCTCAAAGCCACACACTCACACTTGCAGGAAGCCCGGGAAAACCCAGAAAAAAGGAAGGACCCTTCAGGAGGAGGAACCGTGGCAAAGCAATGAAAATTCCGACCTACCGCAATAAATTCCGCGGGAAAAACAAGGCAAGCGTTGCCAAAATGAGAGTGAAATGGCCAGCACACATACACGCACTCATTGGGAGAAATGGGAATCACACCCCTCGGAAAACCTCAAGGCAGCATAACGCACACAGGGATACCTCAGACCTCAGACACGGCGCTATAAATCGCGCTTTGCCAAAACAAAACCTAGCATTGGGAGGCATCAGATTCGGTTTCAGTTTCATTTTCGGATGGAATAGGAGAAGCGGGCGACACAGTCCCCAAAAATCTTTGACCTGGCACAATGCTCCACATTCTATGTTTCGGTTCGAGTTCGAGTTGGAAACGCTTCTGCGCAGTAATCCCCATGGCCAATCAGCTGTTCTAGGCAAGTTCCTTACCTAGGACAACATGTGCATCCTTACGGGCGTTAGGTCCGTGCAGCCTCAACACCAAATGGCTGGAGGCTGGCTACCGATGTTTACATTACCATACTCCGCCTGCCGCGTTATTTGTTGGCCGAAGCTGTTTGCTATCAGATTTTTATTGAGCAAAATAGCAACTATAATTAAATTAATTATTATTATTTAACGCAGCAATTGTTCTGTACCCATTTATTTCAATTCCCACATAATCCGTTAGGTATATTATTTTAATAATTCATTTTATTTTCAAACGGCATATCCGAAAAATGCATTAAATCTATGAGAGCTTGGGTGTTTAAGCCCCCGCCAAGGAAACTGGATTTCAAACAGCAACATATCTCTTCAGCAGTCAATGATGCATAGAAGCTTGATCTCCGGCTTTATTATCGGATGTATGCTAAAGATAGATGGAAATATTAATTTAAATTAAATAGTTTTTCATCAACTTACCCGTGATCGGAGCAATCTCCGCTTCTATTCTCGATTAACGCTTCACCAGCCGCAAGGACACGAGCTGCAACCACCACAGGGACCACAGCAAGGACTGCAGCAGCCACCACAGGGACCGCAACCACAGTAGGGAGTGCCCCCCATCAGGGGAGCCAGGCAGCCGGGTGGGCAGGGTCCCACGTAGAAGGGATCGAAACTGCAGCAGAGCATCAGAACCATCTTGAAAGCTTTGGATTTTCTGAGGTTACTCGCTGATCACTTTTAGATTCTGAAGGTGGAGCTCAAATGCCACAGCTGAATCAAAATAATTAAAAACAAATTTAATTTCTTTATAATTTTGGATTCACTAACTCACTTCGATTTTCTGCTGCTGAAGAAATACGTTGAAGTTAGTCCTTGGCTATGAATTTAGAATGTTGTTCAATTTTTCATATTATTTTTGTATTATTTTTATTTCACGAGAGAGATGTGTTCAGTCCGAACTGTTAAAAATGAATGAGCTCTGTTGGTTTCGAATTACACAAAGCCGACAAAAATAAGTGAAGTTTCAGTCCAAGGACTACTTGAGACTACTAAAATTTGGGTTCATAAGCCGGGAGCCCTCCATTCGATATCTCACTCCTCTTCCGGTGGATCTGCGGCAGGCGGTGTTTCCCGTTTCGCAGCTGCTGGCTCTGAATCCTTTTTAGGCTTTTCCTCCTCTGGCGCGTGATCGTCGGACTTTCGATCGCTTCCCAGTTTGGGCAACAAGGGGCCCACTAAGGCACAAGCCTTGCCTCCGATACTTTGGACCACGGAACAGGCGCCATCCATGCGATCGCCCTCCACGAGGGGAGTTTCCCCCTCGACGGCCGTCAGCTGATCAGCCACTGGACCACCCCGGGTCACAAGGTCCGAGATAGGGGCACGGGATTGGTCCAACACCCGGCCGCCCACCTGCGTTACCGAACGAGTCACCACCAAGAACATGGCCACTATGCCCGCCACCCCGATGGCCGTGTGCACCTTTTCCATGGCTCCGGAGGGGGAACAGCCGTTGCACGATCTTCTGGAGGATCAGGAGGATCGGTTTCGGATTTTTTCGATCGACCGGGCTGACAACTAACTCGGGGGCTACTCTCCCAGCTAGTTGGCCAGCGCAGAGATGGTATCATACGTCGAACGGGCCAGGTTCCGGATGCTCCGCGAAAGTCCACCCAACAGGCCGCTGATCTCATCCGAACTGACCACCGTCTCCTGATCGGCATGGTTCTCCGGCGTAGGATCGTTTACGATTAAGACTATTTTACGGACGGGCTGAATCATGCCGGAAACATCGATCACGGGCTCCGGCTCCTTGTGATCAACGAGAAACGACTCGTGCAGGATGATCACCAGTTGGCGGACAACCGGCACTATGCAATCGAGGGCGTCAATTGCCATGGGAGCGAGCACATGGTGCACCACGTGATCCACAGACGGCGGCATGATTTCAGTTCGTAAATGTATAATTTTGAATTTTTAATTGTTTATTTGCTCACAGATTATGAAGTACGATTTGATGAAGTAAAAATCCTGGGGCTTGGCACTGGAAACCTAAAATAATTGTGATTTAAAGCCATTTTGTTGGAAATTTACAATTTTTTTATTTGTTTTTCATTTACATATATGTATGTTGGCTAAATAAGGTCCTAAACTTTTATAGTCTTGCAATTTATATATTTTTTTCTTCTTGATTTCTTTCTTAGGTCTTTGACAGAGGTTCTTCAATAGCTGTGATAGCAACGACTATGCCAGCCGCCAGGAGTGTATCCTTTGTAAATGTCAAAGTCACACGGACAAACGGCGCATCTCGGATACGGGCCAATGTAGAAAGGATTCATGGCGGGAGTCCAAGGGCGACTTAGGTAAACCATTTTAAGCACTTCGCAAGAACCTGCTGAACCATAGTGAATATGTTTTCACAACATATTTGGACTTTATACCACTTACCAAAAAAATCAAGAAGAAAAAATGAACACTTTTAACATAAATTTGAACAAAACAGCACGTTCTGTGTTTGAATTTTGACTAATCAAATCAACAAACACATCTACTATTTTGTTGACACTTAAATCCAGCATCCTGAGCTACAACTATTATTTGCACATATTTATTTATTTCAGTTGCAATTTAGTGGTTATAAGTATATGAGAGTGCCTATTAAACGTATTAAATATATCCGTCTAATAATTACGGAAAATATGCAAATCACTTATTTATTTTTGTGTCATCAAAATTTGGAACACATTTTGTTCAAATCCTTATTAGTGAGTGTGCTGAATATTAATTAGCATTAACATATATATTTGTATAAATATAATGATTTTCATCAAGCTATCAACATCTAACCAAATTAGTAACAAAAAATAAAGAAGTCCTTAACAAAAAGGTTGTAGGCTTTCTACACTACTCCACAGCAAAAAATTGTGAATTGTATTTCCTATCGGAGCCTATAATGAAATAGGCATGTCCAATTACCTGAGTAGCAGAGTAGGTAACGACTCCCTCATAAAAAGGATAAAGAAATTTACAGTATATTTTTAGCCTCTATTTTGATAGTCGTTAGCAGATTCCTCCTTGTTTGTTTACTAGTATATATTTTATTTCTAATTTACTTATAAAAAGTTTCCACGTTTCGCTTATTCTTCCCTCCTTCAAAACTGTGTAACAATATAAACCCCTGAACAATACATAAAATCTGCGAAATCAGTAAAAGTATACTGTTAGCAAGAGATAATTACTAAGAAGTTTTAATTAATCCCGTTCGGTAATTTTGTAATGAAAGTGATTATAATATTTTAGCCACATATCGAAAGGAGTGGCCGTTTGGGTGGATGTTGGACTCATCTCCAAAGTACGAGAGGCTATTGTTAGAAGCTTTTCACTACTCCGCCTTCTTTCTTCACTGCTGCTCCTTCTGGGGCTTCTTTTCCGGTGCTGGCTGGTCCGGCTTCTTTTTCGGCTCAGGGGCGGGGTTGCATCGGGGTAGTTGGGACTCCGGACAGACCCCGCACTCCGGAACCGTGCAGTGGCCCTCCTCCAAGCAATCCGGGTCACAGCAGGGCGGATCTGGTCCAATGTAACCGGGATTAAATATGCAAGGCATGTTGCAGCTCCTCCGCGCGAAACGAAGGCAGGTGGCTCCTACTTTATAGATTTTGTGAATTTACATAGATGCGCACTGGTTGCAATTTTCGGGTAGAGTGAGGCTCGGAAATTTCACCATTTCTGTGGGGATTAGAACACAATGGAGCAGCCAACTAGATGCCCGATATGCGCAAACCCCTAAACAAAACTAGTTAATTGCATATTAGCATCAGTTAAACCAGCATGCAGTGTAGAATTTTAAAGTCTAAAAAAGAATATGAATTTAAAATAAACAACATTTTTAAAATTATAAATTTGATAGAAAATCTTTGAATGTAAAAAATAAAAACGTTATTCATCTGATTTATGTTAGCAATAGAATATTTTCCATTATACGATTTTACATATAATGAATGTTTAACAATATTCTCTTCATATAATTATCAGAAGTCAGTACAATTAATACCCTTATTTCCAAAAATTCTTTGTGACACAGTGTACGCGAACAGCAGACACATTGAACTCCCACTGAAAAGCCGAATCAAAGCCCAAGCACAAACACCCACTAAATCACCGGTTAGAGCGTGCAGAACGCTTATAATTATTTCATAATCGGGCAACACTTTAGTTTTATGGTGACAAAAGCCTGCGGATAGACAAGAGCCCCTGCAGGCCATCGAAACTGGGCCACAAATGGCTGCAGGCGCAAATATGGAATTTAAGTTGAAATTAATGAATAATTAAGCTGCGTTGGGCAGACGCTCGCAGCGGAAGTGAGGCATTTGCATAGCTAACACAATGAACTACATATAGTACGAGCGGACAAGACTTGGGCCGTTCATAAATTAGATATGCAAATGGAAATGGAAAACTAACGGCAATTCCTTTGTCAATTAATCAATCAATCAACGCAACCGCTCGCTGCGATCCAGAAAGCGTTGCGGAAATCACTTGTCCCACATATCTCCGCCCCCGCCCAGAAACTCCATTCAGAAACATTTCCCCACTGGAAAAGCTGCAAGCTGCATCTCCATTCATCTACATCACGCATGCCAATTTGCTGCAGCACGGTTTTTGATTGCCCGCTAAGTTCCGAGCACTGTGAGCCCCCCATCGAAGCCGATTCCCCGGCAATAAGGCGATGGCAGAGTCATTAGCATCAAAGGGCAACGGTGACATGACCAGCGCTCCTGGCACCCGATCTGCACAGTGGTTTAATTTAAAAAACCTTTTAGAGATGCTGTTCGACTGGAACAGAAATAGCAGAAATAATATAATTAGAATAAATACTGAAAACTACGAATTTGGGCAACTCATTAAATAATTTATTATAATCGGGCTATTTTTATATTAATTTGAAAAAGGGATCGAAAAGGTAAAGATTCAAAGAAACAAAAACTTAAGTCAGCGAATGTTATAAAAAAAACGTTCATATTTTTATCCAAAACATTAAAAATTCGCTTTAATCCTAACTAAATTATTTTTTGAATTTTTTACTGAATTACTTTCTTTTAATTTTATACGTTTCACTGAATTTTAAATGATTTTTCCGCCCCACTGTGCAGCGTTCAATGTCGTCGGCTTCAGCCATCAAAGTCGTGTGCACTATTTGTGTAATTTATATTCAAAACGCAACGCGATGCGGCGATTGCGTGTGTAGGTGGGTGGGGAAATGGGCGGGAAGTGGGTGTTGGGGTGGGGAATTAGTGGAACGGTCTGTTTGGGATCTCTGGGGCCGGTCGCTCCGAGCCAAAGAGCGCTCCTCTGGGCGGCGGCACTTCCAGTGCCACTGAACTGAGTGCAGTCGCGCGAACGGCTTTTGAGTGGCGTTGGCGATGTTGGTCAACGGTGTTTACTGGTAGGTGGTAATAAAGGATTATTGGCTTTCTTAAAAAAGGAAAGGGTAACTATTCAAGGCAAAGAAAATAAAAAATGTGGTATAATTTGGATTTGCCTTATATTTCATGGAAACCGTGTTAGTTTTATAAAGTGGAGCCCAAAAAAAATGTAATAAATAACAAAAATTAGGGAAATGTTCAAATTATTTTAAAATTTATTTAGTTTAAATATCATTTGCAATATTTTTTATATTTTATAATACTCAAGTACATATGTAAAATTATTTTAAAAGGTTTCCAATGTAAAAACTTGTTAACTAACGAAGACTCTATAATGATAAACACATAACTTTGTAGCCTACGATGGTAACCATCTAAGCTTCGACATTGTCTGTCCAACTTCCGTTGTCTTCCATACTTCGATTACTTCTTAGATTCCGTTTCTGGTTTTCATAAGTCAAGTTCGAACCCAACTAGGCACACGCGCTGGGGCCACTTGTCTCATCGTAACTGTTTGAGAAATGTAGTGGAGGCCTGACAAAGTGACCGGAAGATGATACTGTAATAAAAAATAGAAACACACACAGCGACATGAACTCCGTCGAATGTTTGCCTAGGAAATAGAAAACCAAGTACTGGAAATGAACATGAACAATGTTTTATATGCTCTGTGAGTTGTTGGGTTTTTCACTATTCGTAGTTTTTCTTCTTTATTTTTTTGTTAGCCATTTATTTACAAATGAACAATATTTATGGCCTCTTTTTGAAAAAGTGGCGGGGGTCTGTATACACATTGGGTCCCAAAGCGGTGGGGCCAGACTTCCGCCACAGCCAAAGCATGGAAACGATCTTTTCATACTGCACACATATATTTGTGTACATTATTTTGTGGTTTTATTTCGGTTTTATGCGACTGGCATACCAAGCATCGATTATGAATTACAAACTCTGCATGGATGGCAATCAAAAATGGTTTTGTCGAATTATTAATTCTAATTTGCCAGCAATTATGGGCTCCCAAATTCGCTTATCCAACGATATGTTTTTGATGGTCGCCGAAAGTGTGAACGAAAGAACAATTGATAGGTTTTCTATGACAATTAAGATTTTAGTGATTCAAAATTTAGTATATGTGAATTTAATTATTAGCTCCGTTAAGGTTTAACGTCTTAAGAAGTAATGATTTAAGCCGAGCTTAGATAAAATTCATATTTCTTAGGGCCATTTTCTTGTCCGCTTGCTAAATCCGAGTTTAAACTTAATTCCCATACATTTTAGTGGTTTAAACCGTACCTTAAATTTAAATTGCCGACGAGAAAACGGGACTTTTTAAAACAATATGTTTTAGATTTTTGAAACCTTAACAGTATTTAATTATTTTTACCATAAATATGAAATTCACTGAAGCTCCGTCGCCACTGATTTATTAGATTCTAATTATAGAAAATATTCATCGATAAGAAAATCTGGATATTTTTAAGCCAATCGGATTTATTGCAGTATAAGTAGCCATGATTATACCCAACCCATTATTACTTCCAGCAAGTTGCAATTAGTGTTGTCATGGGAAGAATTTATGAGGACCAATTGAAGAGGCTAAAACAGGAACCCTAAACGGCGGCACTTAAGCGATCATAACTTTGCCCGTGATAAATCGAACTGGAATCGCCTGCAGAGATTCGAGATTCTGGCCATGCTTTGCATGGACGGCCAAGAGGACAAAAGCGGCAACAAAGGAGAGGAAGTGGCTTAAAGAACCTCGAGCAGCTGCTGCCGCTGAAAGGCGAGACCGCTGAATGAATTGGGCTGTCGTTGTCTTGGCAATCAGCGCTACCGGGCATAGAAAGTTAACACACCCGAAACCGGCTTAGGTTTCAGTCGATGCAGCCAGTTGAACTTGCCAGTTGACACACAGGAAAAAAACTGAAGGAACTATTAATTTATTCGGGAAAATTGGAGAATCAAATAGTAATTGGAAACTTAAACATATATCACCTAAATTCGATAAGCGAAAATCAAAATATAAATAAAAACAACAAAAAACCAAAAAAATTTTCTAAAAAAATCTTTAAAAAATGTTTTATTAGGAAATATTTTACTTATTATTATTGGAGTATTTTCAAATAATTAATTTGTGTAATCAAACAAATAAACAAAAAAATAAAAAACATTTCTATGCTTCGTAGCTTATTAGTACAATTCAAAATATTTATTCCAGCTCAATGCAATTTGCCCTTTTTACAGTGCTGTTGCCAGATGGAAGTTGCTGGTTGCCGCTTGCCAGTCGCAAGTTGCAGGTTGCCAGTTGTCGCGGCCGCAAGAAACTTGCCAGGATGGACTGCGGCGGATGTGTGTTCCTGGGGATTGCAGAATATGAAGGGGAACTGGGCTACAAGGGGCTTCTAAGCGTTTAGCTTGGCTTTTGCCTCGCATCGTTGGCCCCGCAGAGCGAAGTGAGCGCATCCAACGTCAAATTGCCGCAATTGCGTGTCGACCACAATCTTAACCAGCTGAAGCAGCGGCTGAAGGAGGCGAAAAACTTCGAGCCAGCAAGGAGTGCACTGTAAAAAATGTTCTGAAATTTGAATTTGTTTTGCCACAAGTACGACCATAAAAAAATGATTTTTATTTTGGAAACGAAGTCGAATAAAAACATGTCTGAATAAATTTTCTTTTTTTTTTAATCTTTTATATTTTTTGTCACAACGTTTTGATATAAAATATTATATAATACTGTAATATTGATGTATGACGTATGATTGATTTTAATTTATGAGAAAGTCGAAAATTATTTTTTTATAACTGATACAGTTTTTTTGTATTCTCTCAGTGTGAGCTTGAGACTTTGACTGAAACTGGCATTGGGTGTTGGCCCAGGTTCCGACCCCACTTCAGCCCCTGCTCCATTTGTTCCTGCCTGTCCCTGTCTGTTTCCTTTTTGTTTTTAATGAATAAGTTGGAACACCTGCTCGTCGTTCGTCTCCTGTTGAGATCTCCGTCCGTCCAACAGTCTTGGGACTCTGGTTGTGCTGCTCAAGTGTGACGGCGCTTATGTGTTCTATCTCTGCATCTTGGGCTTGGTCATTGTTAATACCCCTTGACTTTGGGTGTATTCGAATTACAATTAAATTAAAAATAAAAGATTTTATAGGAACGGTTCCAAACAGGTGCATGTTACATTTCGTTAATAGTTTACTGAAATTAAGTTTAGAGTTAACATTTTTTTTAACAAAAATATAAAATAAGTAGTAAGTAGTAAAAATCATCAAATTAAATGAATGTTTATTAAGCTGTAAACGACAATCGCTTACTTTAATTAAAACG